TAGCAACAAAGTAAATGAAATTATGGCTTATTACAGCTACCAACCATGAAACCCAGAACGAAAATTAAAAAATTATGAATAACTCATCGGGGAGAGGGATTACAATCAAAATATATTTTTCTTGATAGAATTACAATCAAAATGTAAAGTAGATCTGGACTTTTAATCTATGAAGGCATGCCCTCAATCTTGCTGAAGTGTCAGCTCTGATGCCCAAATGCTCCCATCAATATGAAGTTACTCCCACAATAATTATTAAGCAACAATATTCACAAGGAAAAGCAGAGAAATAAAAAGACAATGATATCTAAAATGGATGATGATATAAGGAACTCTAATTCCGTGACAATCACGAAATAGACACAAAAGGAGCATGAAGATGATGTTTTGTGAGGTTATACTAGGCATTAATGAATGTGAAATGCACATGAGCACAGCAGTCAGAATAGACCAAACCAAGCTCAGGTTGTTTGCTACAAAAGCTGCACAAACATAAAAAACCAACAAGAAAGCAGAGGACATATCATGGTTGAACAGATAAGATGGGTCCTTCCAAAAGGGAGATAATAATTGAACCGAATATCCCAATTTTGGTCAAGACACAAATCTTTTTCGACCAAATCACAGTATTCTCAATATCATTGAAAACCTAATCTACATTCATGCTATCAGCCAGATTTTCCCGAAAATAGAAATAAAAAGACCACTCTGCATGGAGCATTAACATGTGGAGAGAAACAAAGATGCAGGCAAAGAGTAATTTGAAACAATCCCTTCCAATCAGGCTACATAACTTCAACATTCAACTTACTTAACCAGAGGCCATTCACTAAAAAAATAAATAAATAAAAACATTCATTTCATACAGATCAATGAAAGATAATAGATACACCAATAAACTGATAGCAGATGAGATTAAAAAAACAACAGATCCGCAAACTTAAGGCAAACCAAGTAACAACAGTAAATCCCAGACAAAAGGATCAAATTTAACCCCACATGTTCGACAAAGTTTCCAATGATTTTCAAAACAAAACCTCAAAGCCCTTGCCGACAAATTTCATGAAATCTAAATAGGGACCCGGAATATGGGAGGTAGAATACCATTTTTTGCTGATTAACCAATTTGAAAATTAAGGAAGTGGAGAATGAAATAGATCAAGCATCTTGGCAGTGAATCATACAGACATGAACATATTCACAGAGACAGAGCTCCACCAAAATCCCTCTATATGGATATCATAAGAAGATCAAGAGATCGCAACGAATAATACTTAACAGGAGAGGAAAATAATGACCTAGCAACCTACAGGGGGGGTTGTACAGAACTCAATTGAAAAATATTAGGGGATGAACAATATGCAACGTAGCAGAAATTATACATATAAGGATTCAGCCCCCAGTGAATTTTAAGAACAATTAAAATTCACTAACTCAGGACAAACTCTGACTCCGTAACATAGCCATCACGAGAAGATAAGAACAATTAAAGGAAATCTACGGAAACAAGGGATGCATTTCGGCATCATCTCCCAAAATCCATATCAAAAGCACTACACATGCAGGCAAACGATAAAATATTGAGCGTGGCATTACCTTCCTGAAGAAATCGGGCCTTGCGACTGCAACAAGGCTAAGGCGTGGCAGAGAGAAGCAATCTGGCGTAGCTTTTCAGCCACTCCCACCTCCGGTCTCTGACTCTCTCGTCAAAGCTCCGTCCGAAGAAACGAGATCGGGCTCTGTGAAGGGAAAGAATAGGGACGATTCTCGACGACTACAGAAACTACTTCGGATGGAGAGAAATGAGAAAGAAGACAGTCTCGGAAGGAAAAGGGCAGGGTCCTTGGAGGGTCCAGCAGAAGGCCACACGCTTGAGATTTCGATTTTAGTGGGGAACGAGGAAGAAAGCAAGAAAGGCTTTGGGTTTGTTTTTACGGTACATTTGGTTGAAAATTATTAGTAAATAAACGGAGACGAGAGGCAATGAATGTTGTTTTAAGAAATAGAAATGAAAAATTAAATAAATAAATAGTAAATAATGCATTTTATTCATAAATTAAATATCAAATAAAAAATAAAAAGTTTATTTCTGAATTTTTTAATTCTTTACCTAAAGAATTAAAAAAAAAAGAATTATCATTATATTCTAATTTTTTATAGTAATTATTATATTTTATCTAAACAATAAAAAAATAATGAATATCACTGATGATAATTCACAATTTGATTACCATTTTACTTCATATATTTGGTGAAGTTAGGTATTTAGAATATGTAGATGTAGTCTGAATATGGTTTAGGATAAGAAAAATTAAGGAATTGTCATTATGTTTTCCTGTTTTTTGTGCTAATTATTATATTTTATTTAAATAATAAAAATATATAATAAATATCGTAAATATTAATTCAACCCGCATTTCGATTATACCATTTTTATTCATATTTGGTTGAATTAGGTTCTTGGAATGGGCGGATTTAGATCGGATGTGATTTTAATATTTCAATATACTTAAACCCCATCTTAACGCGGCGCATACATATATGTAAAAATTGTAAATTTTTGTATATTTATTTTTATATTATAATTATTTTTATTATCTATTTATGATTTGTATATATTGTAACGGCCCCGAAATTTTAAAATGAAATATATGTATTAAAAAGGTCAAACGCGGAAGCGAAATAAAAATTTGATTAACATCTCTTACACTAAAACCAAAAACGTGCTTAAAGTATAAAAGAACAAACTAACTAAAAGAGAAACTCGAAGATAAAAGCTATAAATATAACTACGGAGTCTTCAGGCGTCCCCTTCGCCGTCTTCCTGTGGAACGGACTCGGGAACAATGTCTTCCTGATCTGAAATGATTAAATAAAGAATGAGCTACACCAGCCCAGTAAAGACATCACACTATCTCACTGTCACGGATGTAAAGGTGGGTAGAAAACACAAAAAGACCAATGGAGCATAATTTACAACAAATTCTTTTATCAATAATAAAACCCTTTACTATCCACTTACCTCGGTGAAATTCATAAAACAATATACGAAAGCAGTAACATTATCATTATCATGAAATCATATGAGCGGTATAACATAAAACTTATCACACCTTTGAAATTCAATCATTGCACAACATATTTTTCCTCATTTACCAGCCTACTAGTATCCATGGGGATCCATAGGGGTCCCGCTACTCGTGAACCCTTAACATTTGTAATCAGATTCCAGGGCCGTCCCCATACCCCGTCCGGTATGGGCGCCAAAACTATAAACCTCAATACCCCGTCCGGTATGAAGGTGAAACGGGCCGTCCCCATACCCCGTCCGGTATGGGCGCTAAAACACATAAGGTCTCCATACCCCGTCCAGTATGAGAGACCACAATCCCGGTAGGGTTCCCTACGGACCCGGTCCGTCCACCATCTCCCAGGATATCTAGTCAGGCTGACCACATTATACAATTATCAATTTACATAACCTTTCATTCTCCTTTTCCTCAGTCAGCATCATCAATTCACACACAAACAAGCAAGCCAGTAATTTATGCCAAACAAGACAACATACAACATCGGGTTTTCAGTCATTCAACCCATAATTAATAAAACAGTAATATATGCACACGAGACTATGAAATGAAAACATAAGACCTCATACTGCATTTAAAACCGTAAAATAGGCCAAACAACAGCTAACAGACAAACACACCAGACTCGGGCTCCATTAGCGACCTTAAACAATTTCACACATCTGTTGATTCATGAAATACCGTTTTATCATTTATTGAACTTTAATACCATGATAGGAAGTAGGGTGAGGGGTCCTTACTTGTTTCGGGATCCGAATCCGACTCTACAGTGCACCTGCAGGCTGTCCCTAATTTTCCTGAATTTTTTCCGGGGAACTGAAACGCACTACTGGTACCTGCACGTGTTCCAAAAAATCCCAAATTAGACCCAGGGCCCCTTTCGGCCAATATCGCAATTCCGGCACGGCGCCGCCGCCGCTTGCGGCGGCGATTCGCCTCGGGTTGGCTGTTTTCGGCCAAATTCGGCCACACTTGCATTGGTCCCTTTGATAAAACAACCCTAGGGCCCTCGGGGGGCCAAAAAATTACGAAAAACCGAAGCTTACCGGTGGCGGTGCTCTCGGGTGCGGCGGCTCTCCGGCGAGGTTCGTGTTTTGGTGATTTGGCTCCGATCAACCTGTAGAAAAAAGAATGGTGATTACGGTGATATAAAAATTGTATCAAACGGAGGCCGGGAAAGGCCTCATCGGAGGCAAAAACCGAGGAGGGGCGCGGCGGCGCCGCTGGGTTTCGACCGTGTTTTCCAGTCGTTTGGCCGGGATTTTGGCTCTGATTTGACCACAGGGAAACTCAGCATTGAAAAACGAGTCGGGGGTATGAAA